GGCATCTCACGAATTTAAAAATTCTAATAAAGAGGATATGTCAGTTGCCGATAATGAGAGATTTGATGGAACAATGGAATCACACGACTTTCTAGTAACAAATTTAAGAATTATGATGAGCGATCTCGATCAGGAAAAAAAAATCCAAGAAGTAATTAAGAACTATGAAGTGTATGTGGCGAATGGTCATCACGTTCCCGAAGAAGTACGGATCATATTTGAAGAGGCTATCGGTTCTGCGGAAGACTTAATTACAGTTCATACAGACAAATTGGTACAAGATGATGAAAACAGTCAAGCCCTCGAATCTTCAGTATTGGCTGGAGTTTCCGAAATATACAACGAAGATTCTGAAGGAGTAGGACAAAACCAGGAAAATATAGCAAAGTCGAGCTTGCATTCTGCTTCTTCGGTCATCACTGATGAGGCTAATTCATCGAGGAAGGTGCCTCAAATTATTGTTCATCCAGCAGAATCGGAAATGGAATCCGGAAGTTCATCGATCGAAGTTATACGTTATCAGCACGACGATCAACACAGTCAAGCCCTCGAATCTTCAGTATTGGCTGAAGTTTCCGAAATATACAACGAAGATTCTGAAGGAGTAGGACAAAACCAGGAAAATATAGCAAAGTCGAGCTTGCATTCTGCTTCTTCGCTCATCACTGATGAGGACTTTCCACCAATGGAAATTGCTGGGAGAAGCAGACAGATGAATTCAACACCGAATGATCTTGGCACATCTACCCCCTTGCCTATATACGCTCATCAGCGCTCGGTCGCTTATGGGAGCGACGCTCGCAGGCAGGCGCCATCTAGTGGTGTGAAACGTAACCACTTGTTTTATAACGCTAGCAAGTTCTAGCAATGATTTGGAATTAATGCCGAAACCTCTCAGTTCCATTTTCGCTAAGATCACTATAGTAGGCATTTCAATATATATAATTATGATTTTAATAGATAATTATAAATTTAAATCTTTGCAAAAAGTTTTGAACTAAATTTTTTAAAATGAAAATTAATTATACATACTCGCTGAGATACAGCTATTTTTGTACGATGCATTTTTTTGGCTTAAAATTCAATAATTCTAAGCTAGCTCTGTTCATTAAAAAACCAGCGAAGCAGAATTTAAGCTAAAAAAATGCATCGTACAAAAATAGCTGTATCTCAGCGAATCTTGCGAATTTTTAACTTCTGAACCCGGCGTTGGAAAGGTCAGAAAAAAACCTATCAGATAGTTCCATGCAATTTTTTCCATAGTTGATTCTGCGTAGCCATTTCCTGGAAGAAACTAATACACTTTTCGATTTTTCAATTTTTCGTAATGTCGTTTTTTGGGATAAAGTTGTATTTTTCGGCATTAAAAAAATTTCAAAGTGTATACTAATTTATACCATTGGATTTGTCATAAAAAATCCTAAATTTTGGTGGTGTCAAAAATTTTTTTAGATTTTTTTTGTTCATTTGCCACTCGCTCGAAAATGAATGAATTTTGCGGAATTCGTGAAAAAGAACGATCGAAAAAGTGTATTTTTTTGAATGAAATTGCGCTCCTAGGTCATAACTGACTACGGCATTCGATTTTGCAGACAAAAACACATAAGAAAATGTATTGTCAAGACTATTTTTACACTTTAAACAGAGTTTGAAATAAATCGAATGATAGCCCGATTTTGCTTCTTTTTTGGAGCACGTTTTTAAACTTCAAAAATCCATCGACACCATCTAAAATCATTTTTTTGAGTTCTAGTTTACGGGAAAATTCATTTTAAACCTCAAACTTTCTGATTCCGATGGATCCCCCGAGATATAAAAAATTTTAGAAAAAGTGGACCACCCTACTGTTCATACGCAGTAATGTGCTCGCACAACATTAAAACTGCAGCAAAATCGTAATGGAAATGTCATTCATTTAGGCCAACGATTAGTTTACACAAAGCGATAATAAATGGAAAAGACCAGAACGAAAAAGTATTGGTAATTACACTTTTGATGATTCATGTAGTCTTATATTCATGGACACCAGAAGTGTAAGTTCGAATACCTTTTCGTTCAGATGTGATTATATTTTGAGCTGATTGTCTTATTTTTCATATTTTTTTCAAACTACTTGAATTTTTTCTTAATCTATTATTAAATTTTCATACATTTGTAAAACAGGTTTTTTTATTTTGTAGCAGTTTTTATACAGCTGAATATTTCAGTTATTTAACTATGAATTTTTAAAAAAAAGTAAATTGGATTGCGTAGCGACTTGAAAAAATTGGTGTTTTACGAATCTAGAGATTTTCTGCAATGTCCTATTTACCGAAAAGGCCCTATCACCAATCGGCCTGATTTTCTCAGGACAGGTAGAGTTAGTCCCCTAGAATCCGATGGCGCTTTAATTTTTATCATGCGTGCATGGTAGAAAGAGTGACAAACTAGTTATTTATGCAACATATGCCCAAAAGGCGTTTTTGGGCACGAGTGTGCAGAAAAAGACACGAGTGTCAGCCATGCCTAGCACGAGTGGGCTTTTGTCCGTACACAGTGCGCAAAAAGCTGGACACGTGTTGCATACAATATATTTTATGCAATAGTATGACGAAAAATGTCTTTTTTCGCACATTTTTTAGTGCGCAATAAGCGTTTTTGGACACTTGTGTGCGGTAAAATGCCTCATTTTGGACACGGGTGTGCGGTAAAACGCCTCATTTAAATGAACGTATTTTTCGCCTACTATTGCATAAAATATATTGTATGCAACACGTGCCCAGCTTTTTGGACACTTTGTGCGGAAAAAACACCCACTCGTGCCGGCATAGCCGGCACTCGTGTCTTTTTCGTGCCCAAAAACGCCTTTTGGGCACTTGTTACATAAATAATTATTTTGTGACCTAAAGTAACATTTTATTCCCGCTGAGGGAAATCAAAATATTTCTTTAGGCTGGGGGATTCACAGAAAAATTTTATTTGCACCTATGTAGTGAAAAAAGGGAGTCTCAGAGCACGTGATTATTAGCCTCGGTTTGGCCTCGGCTGATAAATTTCACGTGCTCCGAGACTTTTCAGTTTTTAACTCCCTACAGAAGCAAAATATAGCAAACACAACCTGTTCGCATTTTATTCGCGTTGAGTCGAATGTTAAAATTTTACGAGACTTACTCATATGTCAAGTTTTTTTGTTGAAAAAGGAAGATTTTCAGAAATCTGAGGAAAAACCCCAGTTACTTTTCCGGCAAGTTAGACGTGTACAGCAATTTCGCCTAATAATGCCGTGTGTGCGAGTCATAGTATTGAATAGGCGATGATTTGGAACATGCAGAGAGTGAGATGGAGCAGAGCCACGATGGAATATGACAGCCAACTCGGCACCAACAGCATTAGCAGAAGCAGCAAGAGAGTATATTAGCATATAAATGAAACGTTAAATGCTACTAGGCGACTCGAGGGAGGCTATGCACAGGCATACACAGACGCACATATTATTACAGCTCCTCCTGTATCCGTGTTCCATAACGTTTGCAGCTCCGGCAATTCAAATTGAACGTAATGCGCGGCGTATACGGGGAGTCCGTTCTGTGCACGTAGCGCTCGATTTGTCCAGACCTGCGACTGTATCAATCAATTATTTTGATGTGAAACATCTATATTCGCGTTTGGTGTCAGGGGTAAACCCGTAAAAACCGAGCGTCCGTCCGTCCGTCCGTCCGAGCGAGCGCAACTTTGGTAGTAGAACTGCCTATACAGCGTCGGTTTGCGCTACGCGCTGTGATTGGCTGCCGCGCCAGCTACAGAACTGCTTTCTGCTGCTGCCCGCTGCCGAGACTCGACGCGCGTATGCCTGTGTTTACGTATACGCACGAGGCAACGTAACAGCATAAGCAATAGCGTCTTCGGCTCAGCTCACGGGATTGACTGCGTTGAGATATCTTTCTCTCTCTTGCTTATGCGTATCGCTAATACATATAATACGTATGTGTTATCTATGCATGTACGTCGCGAGACTATGCACTATCATGCACGTTGTCAAATCTGATACTTATTACTGCATGTATGTATACGTGTCTATGAGTGTGTCTTCTTAAGGGAAGTCGAAATTTTTATCATGTTATATTAAGATACAACGAACGATAATAGCTCAATGCACTAATTTGATTAATAAAACAAATTGAAAATTGAAAAAATTAAAAAAAATCAGCTGTTCATGAACAGCTGCAAGATGGGAAACATCTTTATCAATTAATTAAAGAAAATTGGAGAATTTAAAAGTAATCGAACAAGTAAAAGTCGAAACAAAAAAATAAGTAAAAAAAATCAAATTGAAAATTGAAAAAATTTTAAAAAATCAGCTGTTTATGAACAGCTGCAAGATGTGAAACATCTTACTATTAATTTTTATATATTTACGTTTTTCACTCCGTCGGTATGTATTTACAAGCGAACGACGAAACGGAAAAAAGCGACCTAGTATAATTACAGCAAACTCCTATCCCGCGTGTTGTATACCTACTGTACAGCACTCGAGTCCTTGAAGTAAACGCGCGGTCATTTTTCATTTCGAATTGCAACGTGTGTGTGTGTTTGTATGTGATGCGATCGCTCCTCTCGATCTTTATTGCTCGAAGCTTTGTTTACTCAAAAAAAAGTGTGTGTGTGTGTATGTGTATCTCCGTGCTGTATGCGGTAAGAATCGATAACTCGAATTCCTGATGATACTCGAGCTCGTGAAAAAAAAAGAATGCAACTTTAGTTTTTTGCGAGCAATTGAGCAACGAGCTGTTGCTATTGCTACTGCTGTCGCCGCATATATAGTACATATATACCGGCATATAGCTCCTCCCGCGCGAAGGTATAATACTTACGGTATACGTATCGGCGAACGAGAAAGAAACGCCGAGCTCGAGTTTCGATTCTCAATTTAATGAAAATGGGATTGTTTGCTTAAGAAGAGAATAAGAGGTAGAAACACAGCTGCGGGATAGCTGCCGTCTTGGTATATCGGAAATTGCGGCATGTATCCAGGTGACGTATATCCAATACTCGACTGCTCGACGGATGGATCTTAACGATTCAAGAGCGAACAATAAAAAATTAATAATAACGCAAGCTTCGTGTGATCATTTGTAAGAAAGCAAAAAGTGGACCGCCGAGGCCGTGCATCACAAGCTGTTCGACACGAGGCGACAGATCGTCAAGTTCAGCCTGAGGCGCATGATCGTCGGCGGCAAGAGGAACCAGGAGGCGGTGGCTGCGAAACGCTTCAGAAGCATCAGGGGCGTGCTCGAGCACTACGTGAAGCGCAGCAGTCTGCACGGCGTCAGGTACTGGGGCGACAGCCAGCTCTATAAATTCGAGCGCGTCGCCTGGATGATAACGGTAATCGTCGGTCTCGTCTGGTCGATATCCATCATCATTCACTTTTATCAAAATTATCAGGTACAAACGCACGATAATAATTTCTGTATAATTTTCGCGATATACACATAATTATCGGTTGCGTAATTTCGAAACGAAAATAAAAAGGCCGAGAAAACCAACTTGATCATCGACGAGATCAATTACGGTATTTTCAACGTGCCCTTCCCGAGCATCACTATCTGCCCGGAGAATCGCGTCGACTGGACGAAAGCCACGAGCCTGATAAGCCAGCTCGGAATCGAGGACGCGCGCGTCAAGCGACTGCTGCGCGACATACTCGACAATCTGTCGGATCTGAAGGTCTCGCATCTGCAGGAGCTGAGTCTTGAGACCGACGAGATATTGCTGGAATCGTTGAACAGTACGTGCGGTGTCCCGTCGTATTTCGTACGCAGCTGTATTTCTGATCGATCGTTCAGCAATTGATCGAAATTGTCGACAAACAGATGTCAACGTGACGAGGATACTGTACGAGTCCATGCCCGAGTGTCGAAAATTCATGTTCAACTGCACGTGGAAGTACAAGTCCGTGGATTGCTGCTCGATCTTCCGGGCCCAGAAGACGTTCTACGGCTTCTGCTACGGCTTCAACTCGCTGACGTCCGAGGGCAACAATCTCACCGAGCCCGAGAGGACCCAGAGCTTCGGCATGAACAGCGGACTGTCGGTCATCTTGAAGAACATTTCCTTTCGCAGTCCTCCTAATACAGGTAACATTCATGTAAACTCTTTATAAAAAAACTTTCAATTTAATGACGATTTAATGTAAAATCAGATAATAAAATTAAAGTGACCGATATCGCATTTCACTAAAGGTACTTTTATACAAAATCTTCGTTAAAATTAATCTATCGGTATTAATATATTATTTTAATCGAACTGCGCAGTATAAAGCAGTACGTAACAAAAACAACAAAAGTTATTAAATTCTATACTCATATATAAATATAGTGATTTAAAATTAAAGTTTAAATACTGATTCAATACTTGCATTAATTGTGAAAAAAAGTAAGAACTCAATTATAATTGATACCAGTCGCCACCGCTAGATGGCCAGTACCTTGATTTATAAATCTGCAAGTGGCAAAAGCAAAATTATTATATAAGTACGGTTTGGAAAAAAAATTTTGTTCGCACAATTTGTTCCGATTATAAAAGCCCCAAAACAAAAGTTCCAAATTATATGTCCCGAATTTTCAGATTTCCAAAATGAATAAATTATAAAAAAAAATATTCAAAAAATAATAAATCAAAATTATAAAAAAGGCCCAATTTATTGGGAATTTCAAATTGCTGATGTGGTGGCCAATAGTCTTTTGGTACTCCATTATAGTGTTCTGATCTGCGTGTTTATGATATTTTGAAACAATGTTGAGAATTCTTCCTTCCATCGCTTGAAAATTGCTAGCCAGCTTAGCTTGAACTTTTTGGCCGTGCTCAATCTACCTTGTCATTGTTTCCGTTTCGCTTTGCTCATTCTGCAGTGATCCAAGAAATGCATACAGGCTTGGATGCTTCTTTCCAACAACAAGCTGAAAACGATTGTGCCAGCCTTCTGAAGCGTTGTTCGTTCTAGCCAAGCCTTTGATGACTGCTTGATACTGGTCCCACAGATCTAGTGCATATCTTACAGGTACCCTTGCTCTTCTGCCTCTACGCTATATATTTGGGAATATAATAAGCTCGGAACTCTCATAATTTGGAGTTTATTAGTTTCGGAACTATTGGGTACTTGGGAATTAATAATTTTGGAATTTTCACTATTGGAACTTTTGTTTTGGGACTTTCGTGATAGAATCACTAACATTACCGAGTGACGAGTCTTAAGCAACCTAAGGTGCATTGCGTTGCGCTGCACACTGTAGACAGGTGTGTCTGTCACAGCTGTGCTCATATTTTCATGTAGTGCTATACAGTTTACTTCTATAACATATAATAATTTCATTAACTTTTGATCGCAATAAAAAATTCAGTGTACTACGTATGCTTAAAACCAATTACCAGAAAATTTTCTCTCGGCCGAAACTTGTAGATAAAACCACGAAATTTGGATATCCAAAAAAACTCAACGTCAAGCTTTGATACTCCAGCTGGCAAGGTCTCGCTCACTTCGGATTGAACAAAGCACTAACATGACACGACAATTGTCAAAAACAGACACAAAATTCACAATCGAACGAGAATATTTTGGCAATGGCCACGTACCCGCGTAAAAATCTGAACAATTGGCAATATATGTGCAATATATTGGCGATTTACATGTGCAATATATCAGCAACATCTCGCCGAGTCAATCGCCGATATTGCAACTATAGGGGCAAATGGACACCCGCTCATATATTGCGGATATATTGCTAATAAAAATGATAATTTCCTAGCAATGTGCTGCCCATATATTGCTACCTGAAACTTTTTTAAAAAAAATCATACTTGCATCATTTTCTTTTTATAGTAATTATAAGCATTATTCATTTGAGATAAATGTATAATTAAAAACTATATTTATTTAACATAACATTACATCACGCGTTTTTAAATTAAGACATAAAATTATGATACATTTACAAGATATTTTTTTACGTTTTTACAATTATTTTTTCTGGTCTTCGCTGTGGCTTCGTTGTTGCACAGCAAACTCTGGATATTGAAACTTCTGAATCAGCATTGATCGGCAACTGGGAAGCTCGGACATTTAACTTCTCGTGATTTTTTTCAAACTTGCTCTTGCCGACGTGTACCCGATCAGACCTAGACGGGATGACGAACACGTACACATGGATCTGTAGAAAGATGACAAAAAAAGTTTTTATAGAACTCTTCACAGTTATACTTAATATGAGTGACAATATTATTTTAAGTATTATATATAAGGAAATAATTCAAAATGCATAACAGACAAAACCTCAAGTTACTGCATAAATTCTGCATCAGCGTCACCGACGACGTCCTCTTTAACGTAGTTGATGCGTTCCCGGCAGCCTCGATGCCGCAATCTCCATCTGAAACACAAAACAAAATTTTTAATCTCACGTGATGCACTAATAATTGATTTTTTCGTAACACTATCACTAAATAAATTGAGTAGAAGCCGCGTTGAAATTGAGTACATCACCGCGACTTTTCTGCAGCTACGCGGGTAGCTGCGTTCTCTAACCGAGGCATACGTTAAATGACTAGCGATACTTATCTCGCGAGAGACTCGAGAAAAACAAAATCGGAGCGAAAGTGATTTGAACTTATCGTACACCAAAAAACTGCTATTTCCCATTTGATTCAATGTTAAAAGGCCAAAACTTTGAATTTCATTATTTCCCAAATTTGCATGGAAACCCCAAATTTTTTTTACCAAAAATCTTGTAATTGAACTATCATTGGTTAAAATTTCACTTCGATCTAAAGTTTTTTTCATTTTTGCTACAGCCTCCTTAAATAAAATTACATAGGCAGAGAAAAAATACCACCACTTTTACATTGATTTTAGTGTCAATATCTTCAACATTGATATACCAACGAAAAGAAGCCACGGGATCGTTTATTTATATATCGTGCGTAGCAACGATCCATTTGATTAATCGTTCGTCAATTCGCTATCGGCGCAGAGAACAAAGTGGCCATACTGATGATAGCCCATCCCCACATATACCCGTCCAAGGGCCAGCTCATAGCCTACGGAAACGAGTACAACATCGATCTCGGCTTCACTGCAGCCGTGGCCGATCCGGCCGTGCTGGCCCTGGAGAACAACACGAATCCGCCGTGCAAGAATAACGGCGGCAATTACAAATTCGACAACTGTTTGAAGGAGTGCCTGCAGAGGTACATACACTACTCGTGCAAGTGCAATCCGACCTTTTTGTTTCCTTTCAGCGGTGAGTGCACACGTTTTTTTTTGCGCTCGATTTCATTATTGATGGCATCCATCAAAAAACTCGTTTTTCTCTCTCTTTTTTTTGCAGATGCCGTGGACGACTGCAGGATCAAACATTTTTCCTGCATCGCAAAATTAAGCGGTACTCTCCGGGTTTTTGTGTAATATAAACGAACGTGTGAGAGCATAATTTTGTACCAACCGTGTAACGTTGTTGCAGAGAACATCAATACGATACATTTGCAGCTGCGCAACAAATCGTGGCTAGTCGACTGGGATCTCGACGAGGTTTGCGTCTGCCCGACCGAATGCGAATATTGCAATTACATCGAGTCCACCATTAGCGTGCCATTCAGGCCGGATTCAATTAAGTTGGACGTACACTTTAATGGCGCTACGGGTGTACTTTACAGTCGAGAGATCAAAATATCCAACATGGACATGCTGGGTAATGACGTGACGATTTTTTTCTTCTTTTTTTCGTTTGTTTGTTTCGTCCTCGAGCGTCAAAATCCGCTTATGAATATTGATGTCGGTCGTGTATTTACATACGCTTTTAGCTCATTAAATTATATTTGTATGTATCCGCACACAGTCCAATTCGGCGGTATTTTCGGCCTCTTCGTGGGTGGATCGGTGCTGAGCTTCGTCGAGCTCGTGTACTGCGCGGCCTGCTGCACGGCCTACTGCTTGATCAAATCGATGCGGCGCAGGATGAAGATGCAAAAGAGGAAGGCGGCGAGCCAGACGACGATACTGCCGACGGTTTCGGCGTCCGAGATCAACGGCCAATGGCCCTATCCGCTCGTCGATTTTCCCATCCCGAATAATCAAAAAATCGTCAATAACTCGGCTGTGTAGCGGAAAAAAGAAAAAGTCAACCATAAAAGTGTGCACTTCGAATTTTACTCGTATTTTTATACAGATCGAAAGCTCTCCTGGTACACCCCTCTCCCTTTCTTTGCTCTTTACGACGCGATATCTGTACGCATTGCCGTTTCGGAATTCAATGCGCGGGCGCCTAGCACACACAAGAGCTGCGTCGAAGCTTTTTCAGCGCTCTACACACACTCTCTCTCTCTCTCTAGGCTCTGTCAAAGCAAACGAGCTTTGATTTTCTATAGGGTAGCGAATCTCGCTTTCCCCCAGCGTGCGCGGATATGTGTATAGGAATGTGCTTGCACACGCGTGTATGTATAGGAATGCGTCGAAACGCACTTCTCTAAAAGTGTAAGTTTGCAGAATTTCGTTTTGTGTGCAAATAAATACCTTGTTACACGCGTATACATGCATATGTACTCTATAGCGCGAGTATAGTACGCGTGAATGGATAAGTGGAAAGACTTTGTTTCGAAGGTAAAGCTGGATTTAGGGTAAATAACGGCTCGCGCAAAAATAAAGGAAAGAGCTATATGTATGTATGTAGCAGCAGCAGACCTCTTGCGTCACACGGTTTTTCTTTTCGCGCGCAAATGGAACTGGTATTTCTTTTTTATTCGACTTTTTTTTTTATTGTATGGCGAGCATCGCGAGCATTTATCCGCTATGCCTTTGTCAAAATCGAAGAGCTGCCGAAGTTGTTTTTTTTTTCAGTTTGAAAGTGTAAAAATTTTTTCGTCTAATTGACGAAAAAATTCACGTTCAATCGATGATCGGTGATATGTTCTGGTGCGAAACAGGAAAAAAAATTCGCAAATCGTTAAATGCGTATAAACAACGCTAACAGTGCAGGTGGGCTTACGCGCGATGCGGCCTCGGATAATATGTAAAAAAAGTCTATATAGGAGGAGGAGGAAGAAAAAAAAAGGGAACGTCGGAGAGATTTCCATATCGGCGTTACCGAAGATATCAATTTTGCCGCAAACACTAAACCTATCCTTGCTGCTGCTGCTGCCGCATAGCTGCCGTACAGTGGTGTACGCTATACATGCACAAAAGCACGAAGACTATTTTCGCGTGTATTTGTGCGAGCGACAACGACACACACGCTGCGCTCGCTCTCGCTCTCCGATGCATTTTTCTTGTAACGAAACTTTTTTTCTCTCTTCCTTTTCCCTTTTTTTTTCTCTAGTCGACTTGAAACGACGATGCTTGCTGCTGCTGCTGCTGCTGCAGTACAAAGCAAGCACATATGCGCTCTAACCCCTTGATGGTGGAAAAAAAGAAAAATAATAATATCCCTGTCGCATGGATGTATGCATTACGTATGTAGATCCAGGACGCAGCAGGATAAAGGAAAATGCTGCAAGCAGATATACGTCGTTTAACGCTCGGGAATATATTCCCGATCACGATGTATAGTATACCACTGTATATGACGAATCTATAATATCATACGTGAAATTTAATCATAAGTATCGATCAAACGATGGAGGAAATGAATGCGTCGTATATAGTCTGCGAAATCAGCTTCCAGTCGAGTAACTTAGGTACCCGAAAAAGTATCCTTTCGCAAACGCGTGCTATATCCGGCGGCTCGTCCGAGGCTTATAATGTACACACACACAGAGCGAGCAGCAGCGCCATGAGCAGCACATAACACACATTTAGCTTTTGACAAACGATGGCAATTAATGTCGACGCTTTGTATTCAACCGAGCTTATTGTGTCGCTGATAATATCAGCAATTTGTCACGTTGGAAAACGTGAGCTCGCGCGCACAAGCCCGTGTACACACGATATACATGTATACATCCGCTCGCGCGCCCCCGAAAAACTTCTCTTCTTTTTAGCAGGCAGATCACGAGCTGCAAGCTGCAGCGAGGGGGCTCGAAGTAATTTTTTTTTTTTTTTCGAGCTCTCTTTCGCTCGCTTTCGGCTTATTATGAAACTGGCAAATAGAAAAATTCGTCCTACTTAGCGCGCGGCACAAGTACGTGGCGTTTACCTTATTGATTTCTATTGTAAGCTCGCTGCAGCTCGTGAGTCGCAGCAGCAGCAGCAGCAGCTGCGAAGAGACACACTGCGAAATATATGATAATCGAATTGAAAGCCATTAAGGTGCGTCACGTGCGATTCGCTATATGCTCGTACGTAGGTAATATAAGAAGAAAACCTAATTGTCAGCAAAATTTTAATTAATTTATACGCTTTTCTATATAGATCATATCCTATACGAAGTACAACATCGGAACGGAAATATGACGTGGGCGCGTGCTGTGTGGCTCTCGTTGAAGATGTTAACTGAGCCGCACAGCAGCTTATACCCAGCCCGAAAGTTTCGACCCCTGGGCTCGAAGAGAGAGCTTTAACGTTGTATTTAAGTTTTGACGTACTCAATTATATCGATGTCGAAAATACGTGTACGTGCCTGTACGACACGTGTCGTGCGCACATCAACTGGCGAATAAAGTTTTGCGCTTTTAGAAAAATGACAAAACAACAAAAAGCTAGCTCAGAAAAGATGCAGTAATTTTTGACATCTCATCTCGATAGCGATTTCGCACTCGCTCGGCGCTCTTGCGCGGATCGTGTGCATTGTTAAAACGACGTCTGCTCGAGACGTATGCGCGCCCGATGCCGTGCAGCGCTGCATACATTTTTAAATTGCCAATATACAATTCGTAAAGCTCGTCGACGCTGTCGCTCGTCTTGTTTTTTGACAATTTCGGGGATACGCGTTTTCGAAATTGTCAACATAACGAAATGAAAAGAGCGACTTGTTACATACATATACAAGTCCGACGAGTTTGTATAGCTGCAGGATAGGCGACGCGAACTCGACTCGTCTGCGCGCCGGTAAACGAGTTTATCAGAAAGTTTGATTAGAATAATGGCTGGGGGCTTGCGCGAGTCTCGGATGGATGGAAGTAAATACCGCTTTTAGTGTGGGCAAGCTCGCGCGCTCCGCGATGACCGATCGTCGCTGGACGCCATGAGAGGAGCTCGTTTTTCGAAAACTTTCGAGTTCAATTTTGTGGAGAAAAGATAAGAGAGAGAGAGAGAAGGAGAAAATTCACTCCAAGCTAGTCGATTTTGTGGTAATTTAGACGCGTTTCCCTCGACTGTTTGGCAGCAATCGAAAAGTTTCAATTTGATTGCAACACTCATCATACCTAAATTACGGTGAGAATATAGGAACTGTTCGTGTGACTAATAAATGTTGAGAAAAACGCAAATATTTCAAATGAATCGAAAAAGCATTTATGTTAAAATCAATTGACGAAATTGAATAATAAAATTGTACACTCATAGCTAAACAATTCATAAAATCAGCTATATCAGAACAACTGTAAGATGAGTAAAGTCATTATATGCATTTGAATATATAATGAATGTTAAACATTTCAATTAATTGAATCGAAACTAAAAGAAAAAGTGTTAAAAACTCACGGTTAAACAAATCAAAAATCCAGCTATGCAACAATAGCTGTAAAAAAGATGTAAAACTTACTTTGCACGAATGTAAAAATTCAAGTATAAATTTGGAAATTCGAATTTGAAGTTCAATTCAAATATTAAAAATTCCTCAAAAATAATCCAATGAAAAAACAAATTTTCGAAATTAAATTTTTGGTGATTTTATTGTTTAATATCCTTGGACAACTGAAGTGTATAATTAGTTGATGGTTTTCAAATCATGTCCAGTGGGTAGTGATAGCTTGTTCTTGCGAAACGATTTGAATGGTGTCTAGTTTCAATTCCATGATCATTAATAAAATTTTTTTTCATTTTTGAACTACGAAAAAGTTATGGTCACGCAGCTCCCTTCCGATAGGACTCACATATAAGTAAATTATTACTTCGAGGTCTTTCTACAACATTGATAGGTCATATATTACAATTAATTCTCTCAGTATCGCGGCGAAAATCGAATAATTCTTCTGTGACTTGTTCTTTTTCTATAAATGCCCCATAATGAGACTGTGTGCAAGATCTTGGCAATAAAATTGAATTTTCTCTCAATGTAACATACCAATGGGGAGCAGGTACTTGAGGATAGATAAAAAAATTGGTTCAGCATCAATACTGCGAAGAATTAGAAGTTGACACATTATTATTATTAAAATTTTTAATTTATGTACAAATAATGAGTAAAAAATTTTTCACAATCACGACAAAATGAATGGTAGCTTGAAATATTTTACTTTTTATTACAAAAATTTGATTTTACGACAGTACTTGACGTTTTCACGTGATTGTAGAAATCTTCATGGAGTTCAAATATATCTGGACAAATCTTACGCTTTTAAGATTTACATGAATTGTGTACTTCATTTATGTGAAATTGGAGGTGATATTTATGTCCAAATGATGTATGTCAAATCTCGCATTCAAAGGTTACTTTGACTATGTACCGTTATTATGTGCCTTTTGAGGTAATCTTTCATTCCAAATGATTTGTGACAAATGTCACATTTGAATGGTTTTTGGAGATCGTGTACTGTAATTGTATGCCTTTTGAAAGTTGCATGGCGACCAAATAATTTGCTACAAATATCACATTTTGCTGTGATTATGTACCTTATTTATGTGATATTTAAGAACACATTTGTATCCAAATGATTTATGACAAATCTCACATTCAAAGAGTTTACTTTGATTGTGTACTTTATCGATGTGTCTATTGAGATTATACTTTTGTCCAAATGATTTGAGACAAATGTTACATTCAAAGGGTTTGCTCCGATCATGTACGTTCAATTTATGCCGTTTGAGTTTACTCTTTTCTCCAAATGATTTGTGGCAAATCTCACATTCGAAGGGTTTGCTACGATCGTGTACTTCATTCTCGTGACGTTGAAGGTGACTTTTTTGTCCAAACGATTTGTGACAAGTGTCACATTTGAATGGTTTTTGGCAATCGTGTACTGTAATTGTATGCCTTTTGAGAGTTGCAATGCGACCAAATGACTTGCTACAAATATTACATTCGTATGGTTTGCTGTGATTATGTACCTCATTCATGTGATTTTTAAGATGACGATTACTTGTAAATGATTTGTGGCAAATATCACATTCGAATCGATTCGTCATCATGTGCTTTCGGAGGGTATTTTGACCATATAACTTGTGACCATTACGACTTTCGCATAGTCTACATCTACTATTTTTTGTACTGCTATGTCTTTTTAGACTCGCTTCTTTGTTGTACGTTTTTTTACATACTTTATAATTATGCGATAATTTAGTATGTGTTCTTTTTTCAACTATTTTCACATCCTTGAGTTCGTCAAGTTGCAATTGAGAGATTTCTTGAAATAGACAATTATTACGATAATCAAAGTTTTTTTTAATCAAAATTATTAGGCTTTTTCCATTCAAGTAATTCGTTTGTTTCTTTTTTTCTGCGTTCGCTCTAGGCGAATGACTCAACTTCTCATTTTTGAAATGTTTGCTATTAAAATCAATATATTTTTTTCCACTTGTGTCATCTGTCTGATTTCCGTTTTCTAATTTCACGATAGATAAGCAACTTTCATAATCAGATGTGCAGATGCTTTTCAATGGAGATGGAGGTTCAAGCTTTACATCTTGGCATTCAACTTCAATAGATATACTTTCATCCGACTTCTGGTTTGAGACAATATCCTCATTCATGTAATTTACCTAAAATGAAAATTATGTTGTATTTTTTAATAGTGGGAAAACGGAACGTTATTAAAGTCATTAAACTCACCGATCTGTTAAGATGTGAGGATGTTCCATAGTTTTTGACTTGGTAAAAGTCCATGGAATCGAAATTAGTATCGCCACCTGCATCTGACCAACTATCTTCCGGTTCCTTCTTTACACTGAGAAATAACAAAATTCGATGAAACGATGGATTCAGAAAATACTGTGATATACACAAAAAATGTTATACCTAACTACGTCTCTGCCACTTTTCATTTTTCGATCGATTGTACAAAATAACTGTCAATTTTAAGAAAATATATTCGAACACTGAGAAAATGTTGAAAGTCAAACACCATAAATAGTCAACAAAGTACTTTGATCTCCTCAATTTGTAAACACTCGCTCACCAAGATACCATTTCAATTGAACTCGTTACTTGTAATATTAGAGAGTCGATCCCACGATGGACAGCTCCTTGGCAATATTTTCCCTCTCTACCGTCGATTGGTCGGTGGTACAGAAACTCGACACTTCTCGACCAATCACAGCTTGCGAAGTAAACGGACGCTACCAAGACTAAAAACACACGATAATAGCGTTCGAACGAGCTGTAAGACTTGATACATGGAAAAAAATACTCGTAGCTCCCTATTTCATCGTTAACATTTAAAACTTCGTGTCAATACGTTGTTATCGCACGCCACGTGAGCAATAGACAATGCGCATCCAGCCGCTGCTGCGAGGAGGTTCTTTCACGAAGGCTTGCGGTAAACCAATTTGCATGAGTCGTCTCTGCGCACGAACACAATTATGCATGGTAAATTTTAAAGCCATCGCTAAATTATGTGCAGCGAATGCAGGAGAACTTGCGTGAGAGGGAGACCGAAAGAGGAGTCGTGTCCTGGCAATCGGAGAAAGAGGTTAAATAGATACGACCTATTCTTCCCTTCAAACGAGTAATCAAGAGGTTTCTAATTAGACAACTACTCGGAATAACGTAGCGCTGGCACTACTGAACTGTACAGATACATACACACACTCATCCACGAGTAAAGGGAAGCTAGCTAATGAAAAATCGATACTCTCAGCGTACATTGAGAATCGTTGCTTTTAGAATACTACGAGTCAGCAAAAATAATCGAGGCCGCTTGTACATATATTAATAATCGAGCTCTCCTTGCGGCGCAACAGTGCAATACCCTCGCAGCCGTCAGATCCGCCAGCGATCCACTATAGATATAATATGCTGGGCTGAGAAAGAAAGAGAGAGATAGACTATATGCATTTGCTTCCAGCACTTCTGCAGTCCTCTCATTGAACAGGATTTCGCCGCCTTTCATCCATATATACATAGAGAGAGCAGAACACCGTTCGCGCGTTAACCGTTCGATTGTTGCAGAAGTGTGGCACAGTCGTCGTCGTCGTCGTCGTCGTCGTCGTCGTTTGACGAGGTCCTCGCAGCGATATATAGATGCCCCCTCCTGCCACATAGAGCGAGAGAGCCTCGAGAACGAACGAGGTCAGGTTGAAAATTTCACTCGATTGCTCAAGCTACTGCTGCTGTTGCTGCTGCTGCGAGCTTACGTGTGCGTATATACATGTATATGTATGCATTCGATTTGCAGGACGAGCGGTTTACATTTTGCACTTTGTCAAAAGCACTTTGGAGAAGGAACGTATCTCATTTTCTTTTGGGTTAATGTATCGGAATAATGCATATATAGCAGGCGCGCAGCGGTGTATTACACACGCGACTACGACAAAGCCAATGAGAAAGAGAGTCGAGAGAGAGAGGACACGCGTATAATACAGTCAGTTATATACAGCGCGGGGGCCAATTTTACCTGTCAAATCCGGCTCAATGAAATATCGATGACGCGCGAGACGCCCTGTTGAACAGAGGCTCTCGCGATGAACTATTAAATGCCGGGGTACGCCACACGGAGCACGCACCTGTATATAATACATAGATATATATATATCCACTGCTACAGCGGAGAAATTTAATCCCTTAATTTCAATGCAAATTCCGCAGCGGCAAGAATTGAGCCTGCTCGCGCGAAGCAACAGCTTACGAAAAGCCTGCGGATAGATGTAAACGTCCAGGGGCGGGTGCGCGCGAGCGCGCCAGTATGTGCTGCGCTGCGCGGCGCTTCATACGCGGCGGCCTGGATTATGCATACCTGTATGTATAATACGAAACACGCCGGTAAACAGGTATACAGTTTATAAGCTGCAACGAAGTGATCGCTTAATTAAAAGTGGAATTTTAACTTCGGATATTCGTGTACGCGACTCGCGCATCCTACAAAATTACTTTTTGAGTATTTCGATTGCGTGCGTTTAGATTATAGACGATGGAAATACCATTAAAAGTATAATATGTAAAATTTAGGGCGAAAAGTTTCAATGTGAGGCCTAGGAGCGATTACGATTCAATAGTGTAGTTAGTCAAACGAAACTACTCGACTTGTTATTTTCTCGCTCTTCCAACTTCTACTATTCGAAGCTACAAGTTTGATCGCCAGGTGGCGCAGCTACGGAAAAAAGACGTACTCGCAAGACATAAACAACTTTTTAGGATACTAGTACAAATGAATCTGCTTGTAACCGCAGTTTTTTTGGTTTTTTTTAAACTCTATTCATTTGTAGGAACATTTATAAAACTTCTTGATACCCGAGCACAAAGTTATCTCAATGAACTCAGAGGCAAAATCTGCTGAGTTACGATCTTATAAAATAGGACATAGCACCTTTTGCCTTCGATTTTATTGATATACCTGATTGCTCCGAGGTGACGATTTATTACTAAAAAATTGTACCTCTTCCTGATTGGTATTTGAACGCTTCCTGTTTAGTTTTTTTGATGTATGAGACTTTTGCTTTTCTGCGAGTGGCTTTTCATTGCTTTTTTTTGTTGTCGCCCAGTATTACATTTGGTCGTTAAACATTTTTCAAAATCATTGATACCCCACACCTCTCCTTCTGGCAGTTTCATCTTGGCTTTAACGAAAGCTTGATGAAGAACAATTAGATTAGTATATGATTTTAATCTTTCCGATTTGAGCTGAACTTTTGATGCAATACTTACAGAAAATGATATTTTGTATTTTGTGGGGTATGCCCATCTTATTTTTGTTACCAACCCGAGACATTTCGACAAGGTTTTCTTCTCCCACTAGTGCGTTCAATAATCTAGTGCATTCACGTACAATGTGCAGTCCGTTGAACGGGGTGCTCCGAACAGGCGAAACTCGATCGACTTCCTCGAGGAAATCGTCAAAAAGTACAAGAGTTTCACCTGGTTCTCGATTACGTGATCAATTCGAGAAAAAAGTGTAGCAAAAGTGCATCTCCGAATTTATAGCCACACTTTTCCGACATTTTTTTTCCACGCGGCAAGCGTCTCATTGAACGAGCATTACATTACGACCCAATCATAACAATCATGACGAAGCTTTCAGTTTGGACAAGATATCGAAAAATCGGGTCATGTTCACATTTCGGAATGATGAAAATTAGGAATCATCAATCATCCAAACCACCCATGGGTTCATCCTCCGCCACATCTGCCAAACAAGCGTCCGAATTCTCTTTCCTCAACAATTTGTTGATTAAGTGCTTCAGTTGCGCGTCAGCAGGACTCCTCGCGTGCATCGGCTGAGTATTTTTTGAAATACCAAAAAAGTGTGTCGTAGCTTCACTTTTTGTATATACGCGAAAAGTAAGTCAATGGCACAATACAAACATGAATATAATAAAAAATAAACATAAACAAAAGATAGACAAAGACCGATCAGGCTTCTAGCAGATGCTGGCACAGAAGTTCCTTGAAGTTCGAATTTCTGAGGCTTCTTCTGAGATTTTAAGGCAGCCCGTTCCACAGGCGCGCAGCTCCAATAGTAGACGAGTAACGGTCACAGTCCGTATTGTCCCTGACGATGACCAGCTCCAGCTCATCCCTCTTACAGCTGTGGCCTACAGGAGCCGCGCGGAACTCAAACTCCGTCGACCAGTAGTCAGGCCTTTCATTGCGCAGCAGAGAGACCCCCCAAAAGAGCACTGAGAGAGCCGTATTGCCAGCAGGGGATATTACTAGTATGCGCCATGGTATCAAATCCCAGGACTTTGCAGTCATATGTAACCGAAAAAAAATGTTTCTCTTTTAGGGTACGTCTTTTTCCCTGTGCTACGCCACCTAGCGGTTGGACTTAAAAGTAGAAAGGGTGAGAGGACGAAGGAATGATAATTTAAGTTGTTCGTTTGACGAAGGTCATTATTGAAATCATAATTGTCTCTTGGCTTCGCTCTCGAGGATAAAAATGTTTTCATCAATCGCTTTATTTTCAATGCTATATCCAAGATGCTAACATACTTTACTTTAAATCAAATTCTCTTAGCTTCGTGACAGACTCCAAAACTGCGAGCAAGAAATTATTATAAGTGTGAAAATTAATATGAAAATTACTCTTACAATTTATTGTTGATTTATTGCTCTTGCATGAAGTTGCTGCTAGAAGAGAGCTCACGATGCGATACATAAATCGCTGCGCAGCGGCGCCACTCGAACTCTGAGGCTGGAGTATGTGTGCAATAAAATACATATTCAGCGAGCCAACGGTGCATGCACGATGGTAAATGTCGATAGAAATTAACCCGCGCCTCAAGTCGAACCGATCGTGGCGTTTTTCGGAGCATTTTTAGCTTCGATCTTCTCTCTCGTGCTCGCTTGCGTTAACCAATTAAGCCATCCAAGTGTATTAATGCTAAAGCTGCTGCTGCTGCTGCTACTGCTGCGCGAGACAACACAAGATAGTCGAACGATCACTCCAGCGGAGCGAAATGCAGAGTGAGAGAGAGAGAGAGAGAGAGGACTTAAAACCTTTAATCTCTGTAGTCCACACTTGACGGCTTCGAGTGGACCCGACTGAAGAGTTTCGCTCGCAGCAGCAGCTGCTGCTGCTGCTGCTACCGCTCCTGCAGAGGAGCTATTATGTAAGACACCGGAGTGAGATTATATACGGTATATATACAATCTATATCGATTCGTCTTGGCTAGCAAAATGTCGCCGGGAAAATTGCTGAGCGTAGCTCTTTGTGGATACTCTTTTGTATATATATGTGGGTGGGTGTGCAAGTATGTGAACCTATACCCGTGAGAGGAGCCGCCGAGGTTAAGTGACGACGACGCGGCACACTACTCGTGCTTGAGAAGAAGCTCGATGAACTCGATGAAGCTTTGTCATTTGTGCGGGCATCGTTCCACCTTTTCTCGATCAAACCGTCGAAAAAGAAAAAAAAACGAAGAAGAAGAATAAGAAGAAAAGGAAGAAGAAAATAACTTGGCTCGGCCACGCTCTAGGTGTCGGAAGCTCGAGACTCGCGTGTGTACGAAACGATGATTCGTTCGCATTAGCGAGCGATAAGGCACGCGATCGCGTACAAGTTGTGTCGCGTAAGCTCTATTATTGTACGTTCTATTTTTCGTATCATCGATATACCCTCTCATCGCGGCGATCTTCTGCGTTAACTCTCGTGGGATTGAGGGCTCGCTTTGTTTATTTATTTTATTTTATTTTTTTTCATTACTCTTGAGCTAATTTTTCCGAGATCGTTGAAATAATCTGCGATCATTTGTACATAGTTCGCCTCCTTCATTCGAATATCGCTGAAACCGTAAATTATTCTGTCTCTCTCGAGCTCGGCGTTTGTGACTCCTTACGTGAAGCTGTAGATAAATAGATATATAATAGTTGAAGCTTTTTACTTGATGAAAAGGACAAAGAGCAGATAGATATACGTATAACTTGCTCGGGCTAACTGGAGCCGAAAATTTCGCTTCGTGTAACTCGCGCGTCGTGTCCGCGCACCGCTCATCCTAGTATATGCACTCGGAATTTGGAAATAATAAAACATAGAGATTTAGAAACTAAACGACGAATAGAAAGGAGTAGTAGAAGAAAAAACGTAAAGCAAGAGGAAAAACTGGAGCGTGCATCAAGGTAGATTTACTCCCGTCAGTCTTTTCCTGCAATTGTGCAAAACGGTTGTTTTTCAACAAAAAAAAATATATACACATTACGCATACAATTCAGAGACGCTGCAATTCTTCACGTTTATTACAATGAATAACGTAAGTCGCGTCATTGTCGTCGCGGTATAAGACAGCCATTATCTAAATTAACTCGCGCCGGGTCTGCGGAAATATTCTAGATTTATTTTATTTTTCATCTTTTATTATTATTTTTTTTTTTTTTTCGTATCACGTTGCTGCCTTTTTTTTTGTCATTCCGCAACGTCGACATTCTCGCGCGCAAAAAAGCATTGTTATATTTACAAGCGCGCGCGCACTTGAGCAACTTTATTAAAAGTAATTGGTCTGTCAGAGCGGTATATAACAGGAGAGGTGTATATATACGCGAGGGATGAAGGATTGCGCCGAGCGCGCTAACTCGCAACAATTCGGTGGGAATGCATATAACGCGATATACATCCCTCTGTGTCCTTGTGTATGTGTGTATTTATCCGGAGGTTTAAACTTATATAACACGTGTATATTATATAGCAGTTAAAGTGACCAAAATAATGAAACGTCAAGCGAGTTCAACTTTTAATATTATACGTGTGCGTACACACCCACCCGCACATACAATACACACACGTACAAGTACAAGTCGTGTCTGTATTAATGTCAAACTTGATATAATTGAGTTATTAACAGTAGTCTACGTCTATACATAAACGCGCAATCGTATATAACTGGCCTTGAGCGAGTTCTCTGAAGAGCCCGCGGAGTGTACGTGCTATATGCTGTACGCTGTAGTAGTCGTACCACCTGCGTGCTGCACAAGTCGAGGCGCGCGTACACACACACACATATATATGCATACGAGCAAACATCGCGCGCTCCTCTCTCTCTATCTATCTCTCTACTCACGTCGAAAGGTCTTGAACTGCTCCGCGCGTACTGTATATACATGGTATTCAATTCAATTCAAACTACTCGGTCCGTCTCCCTCTCTCTCTTCGACTGCACACACACACATACGTACGTACAATGTTCTCTCGCTCGAAAGCACGTCTCTGGCTGCGCGCGCGAGCTTTCGCAATGGTGCCTATGTGCGCCTGCTGCTGCTGCTGCAAGCACAAGTTGTTTTGGAATTTTGCGCGCGAGCACGCGGGAACTAAGATTAAGTGTGTTATTTCTCTCTCCCACTCCCTGAAGCACGCATCAATTAAGGCAAATCCATCATTTCTTCAGAGACCAGAGCAACTCGAGAGAGAGAGAGCAGTAGTACAGTGGTAGCATAATGTAACGAAATGATTGATATGCTATTTTGGATACGTGCCGCGATATGATTTATAACCGGACATCCGAGCGAGCAATCGATAAACGAATTGTTGAACATTGCGCATTGCGCGCGGGTCAAGCTGATCGCTTGTGTACATCATTTGAATAATTATACAACTGAGCCAACAAAAAAATCTCGATTTTTTGCATCGATCGGTCAAGCTTATAAGCTCCTGATTAAAAAGTACTTTTAATTACTATTGCGGCAACGATCGATCTCACCACGAGTTCCGTTTTTTTATTTACATTTTCGAGCTGAGAGTGTCCAAGCTATACTATTCACGCGCTTTTATAGATGTCTCGTTTGGCGTTCAAGCGAGATCGGGATGCAGGAGGAAGGATATAAAAACACACAAAAGAAGAGAGATTATCAGAGGATTCTCTGCAGCAGCTTCGAAGCGCGTGTCAATCGGTGCCCGCCCGTCTTAAGCGCGTCACACGACGACGGCTCTCTAAGCTCGCTGAATCGGCTCGAGCTTGCGACGTTTTCCCTACTTAACGTATCAATATTCCTACGCGTATATAGATACCTAGTATAAACGTTTATCGCCCTGCCGCGAGCGAAACGATTTTTGCGAGGGGCTCTCTTTTTATATAAGCGAGTATAATATGCCGCAGCGATCATCGTAACGTTGAGCTTGCATCGGTTGTTAAACGTGTGTGCTTTCTCGCGAGTGTGCGTGAAAAATATTTCTTTTCATCTTCTCGCCACCGTGAGTGTGTATAAACGATCGGCCGTTGTTTTTCACGCGTCATGCAAGTGCACGTGCGCATATCTGTAACGCTGCAGCTCCGCGATATCCTCTCGCTCTGCGGAAGCATCATTAAAATAAAATCGATATTCATTTAATAAAGCTGGGCAGAGGACTTGGGGTAAAGCTGCTTGGCTCGATACGCGATGCAATAAAAAAAAATTGTTTATATCGTATACGCGTAAGAACAAGCACGAGCTCGCTCGCGCCTTGCGGACCCGGGCTTCGAGCTCTTCGGTATAGACGTAGTGTTGTACGTGCCGTATTGAAGAAATAGACGCGTACACGCACAAGCAGCTATGTATATGGGCAACGACGACTACGACGACGACGACGACGACGACGCTATAATGTTGAAAACGAGGTGGCGCATACTCTCCGCGCCTCGCAGCGTATATATACGTACAGTCAGTAGTCAGCTGTGTCTACGCGAGTGTAAGTGTGTGTGTGCGCGGTGGGGAGGTGCTGCTGCACGGAGAGAAGCGAGAGAGAGCAGCAGCAGCAGCAGCAGCAGCAGTGGTAGCAGCGCGCGAGAGAGAGGGTGAGCCGAACAGTACCGGAGACTAGTAGCTTCAGTCCGCGCCCCGACACGCTGCCGCGCGAGCGCGACGTCGTTCCGTCGTGAGGAGCATTACGCCGTGTGCTCGTCCAATATATACCATACATAGAGTTGTTGTGTGTTTTGTTGTTGCTGTGCAGTGCGCCCACTCCTCGCAAAATTGGTGGGGAAAACCAAAAAATCTCGAAACATTTTTCATTTCGCTGGAAAAATCGAGAAATACATATATCGGTAAAATATATTGAATAAATATATATTTAATAAAAATATCGTACGCCCGTGTATAAACTACCGTTTGATTTCTCGATCGCATCTCGATTTCTCGTGTATACCGACGACGACGACGACGGTGATTTATGTCGTTTTGAAATTGTTACCAACGTGTGCGGCGCGCGCCCGTACTATAAAAAATAAAAAAAAAGAGAAAAATTATAAATTACGCGCCATCGGACTTTGACGATCGCGCGTCCGGGTCGGCGAGAGGTGTGCGCGATATGATTGATTAATTTTTCTCTCTTATCGTCCCTACGACGCCGTCGTCGTTGTTGTACACCGTTGTTCGCCTTCTGGTTTACTTTTTTCTTTTTTCAACTCTTTCATTATACATTGTGTGATTATTTACAACGTGCGATGATGGTCATAATATGACGATGATTACGACGATGATGTAGCAAAAAAAAAAAGAAGTGCACATGCACCGTCGTCGTTAAAAACATATGCGACTCGTAGCTGAGCTCTGCGTAAGGCTACTGCGGATGCGATATGTGACGATCGTCGTCGCGCGAAGGACGACATCGATACGCACGTAAAGGAGTCGACGCCGCGGCCTCTTCTCACTCCTACTCCGCGCTCGACTCTACTCTTCTGCATCTTTTCTTCTACTCTACTCAACGAAACAACAACAACAACACCAGCAACAACATTTCTAATATCACAGCACACCGATCCATAAACGAGTGAGTAGTAATTTTTTTCTGTCTCTCCTTTTTATAAGCTTCTTCGCCCTACATTAGTATATTTTACGCGTGAGTGTGAATTGCAAAAGAAAAAAAAAAAAGAAAAAGAGAAAAGAAAATGCATCGTTATTATAGAAATGCACACGACCCGGGACAGATAAGGTATTTACCGCGAGCGCAAACATATCGCGCGAGGAATGTTTACACGCAGCAGCGGCGACGACGACGACGACGGCGTCGGCAGCGATGGAGAAGCCCAACACACTCGCGTATACGTATAATGTGGTGGTGGCTGTGCCACATGTGGGAGCCGCGAGGGATGTATTTATCCGCGTCATTGTATGGGATCGTCGAGGGCTCTGCGCGAGTCGTGTGTTGTTGGCAATATAAGAAGAAGCATCGGCGTCGTGCTCATACATATATATGTACCTTACACTTTGCGTTCGATTTCATTTATTTATTTTCTCCGTTTCCAATTTTTTCTTTTTTGCCTTTTGTGCGATATGTATGCCACGCATCTCTCGCGTATATCTGTAATAGACGCGGATACGTGTCGTGCGCGCGACGTGTTTTCCATATATACGAGACGCGTGTGCACGCGTTACGCAATTTACGTATACGCGACGATACGCAATCTCTCGACGCTGACTGGCTGGCTAGCTACGAGAGATTCGCAATTCGGATCTGCGAAATTGATTAACTTTTCACAATTTTTCACGACTATTTTTGGTTTGAAAAAAAGAAAAATAGCAAAAAAAAAAAGGTGAAAAAGAATGTTCATTAATCGTCGACCCCCTTCTCTCTTTTTATTCTCTTTCTCTCATTCATCGATTATGTCACGCAGCGTCCCGCAGCGCGCGAGCATGTGTGCGTGTAAAAGTACAGACGCGAACGATATTAACTGCGCATTCGAAAGTACGCATGTATCCGACGCTCGACGCGAAATTACATAAGTCAATCACGCTTCGATTGTTTCCCTCTTTTACGAAAGCGAAAATATTAAACGAATTGCTGGGTGCGCGTGTATTATAACTGCGAGACGGTCGCGAGCACGCGGACAAACGAGCGATAGAAAAAAAGGAGTAGGAAAAAATAACTCGGAGAACAGCAAGCTGCAGCGAGTCCTTAGATGCGCGATATCCTTGGAAAGTTTATACTTGTAATATCGAATGCAAAAAAACAAACAGAGAAGTGTAGACGTTATATATCTTGCACATAGTTGTGTTATATAGTTGTCCGTATCGTAGTGAACGAACTTTCGAAAAGTATGAAAAAAAAAATTCCGCGTATACGTATATTACGACCCCGCGCGTATTCGTCTCGTTCCGCGCGTCACGCACGTGTATATAATACACACAACTTTATCAAGGATCCGCTTCATCGATAACGAAATAAATAAAAAAAAATAAAAAAAATAAAAGGAGGTAAAAAACTGTGTGTGTAGCACGAGGCGTATATACATAGCTCGAAATATAACGAGATCCACTCGGCATTCCGATCTGCACGCGCGCGCGTATATATACCTAGCGCGCCATATAGATCTTGTTCTCGCGCGCTCCAGGGCGGGCGACCCTTATGCCGCGATGGCTTCATATAATTCTCGAGAGTACTGAAATTCCCCGCCTTTTTTCTCTCTCTCTCTCTCTCTCACTGTCTTTCTCTGTCTTTGACTCTGCCCTATATTTATTGCTTTTCCTCCCTTTACTCTCTCTCTTGGTCTCTTTCACGCGCGCGTTTCAGATCGCGGCGAGTAAGAGAGAGAGAGAGAGAGAGGCGGGGGCAGTAGTAGCAGATCCTCGTCGTCGTCCAACGTGGCTTTTCGCTCTCTGTTACGAAAATCGGCCCGTGTTCTACTGCTACACATAAGCCCTACACAGACGCGCGGCTTCGCTGCTGCAATTTGTCCCGCTGCTGGTGCAGCTCTCTTCACTCTTTTTCTCTCGCTCGCTCGCTCGCTGGTGCGGGCCAGCAGCTCCGGGGGAAAAGACAAATCGTCCTTAAGCTCGGAGCCATTGTTATCGAAAAATTCGATCATTACGTATATACATATAGCTCCGCCACGTTTCAATATAAGGGTGAGAGTTGCGGGAGTGAGGGAGGGGAGCCTTAAGTGCGCACACCCGTCGAAGGTGTAAAATATCCTGTGCGCGCTGCATAGCACGCGCGGCGCTTCGCAGGCAATTTTCCTCTTGGGTAAAATGAATTTGCAAAAGAAGTGGCGTATAGTGGAGCCGCGCTCATATACGTACATAAGTGCACCGAGCGAGTGACGCATTATCCAAATACGTGTGTACGCGCGCATGAATATAAAGCAGTCGACGCGTGGCCAGCTCCAAAGCGCGAGCGAGCGAGTGAGTGAGTGAGCGAGCGAGAGAAGAAGAATAATTAACTAATGCGCCCACATAAACACGGCATTACAGCTATAAGAGGCCATGATATATAGATATAGTTTGCTGCTTAGCCGCTGATGTGCACAAGTTGCGTTGTTTAATGGATAATAATTTACTGGGTGTATGTGTGTGTGTTCATCAATATATGGGTAACGTACACTCGGGTGGATTCGAGCAAATATAAGCGACTTACTGCACTCGGCACGTGTACAAATACATGACGCACTATACGTACGCGACAGAGAGAGAGAGAGAGAGAGAGAGAGAGCTTTAATACTGCACCAGCTATCGTATAGATTTTTCACTCTTTCTCTCTCTCTCTCTCTCTCTCTCTCTCTCTTGCCGCTGACGACTTTCCGTCGTATTCGAATGAGATATTTTATTCAAACTGCGAACCAAACACAATACATATTTGATGTAAAACGGTTGGTCTTTCTCTCTCTCTTTTACTTCGGTCGCTTCGTGCAAATATCACCGCAGTTTCTCTCCATTGTATCGCGAGCTTCTCGTTTCATCTCTCGAGTGCGTATAAATTCCATACGTACGTATACCTACGGTGCTACACGAAATCAGTAAAATTAAATTTTAGACGATTCGTGCCCGCTTGTATAATATTATATACATCGCGCCTTCGTGCCCGCTTGTATAATATTATATACATCGCGCCTGAAAAGCTATTACCGCCTCCCGTGTATACAGATAAGGCGTTATACGTACTTATAAAATATGTACAATAACCAAGTTTTTGTCGATTCGCAGCACAGAGCGCGGCGATATAACGGCGCGGGGACGGGTGCAGTGCGTAAATTACGAGTGTTCGTTTGTACGATAATACACACCCCCTCGCGGGTTATTCCAAAAATTGCGACAAGCGAGTTAATTACACTCGTCCGTCTCTCTCTATCGTGCGTGGCGTACGGAGGCTCCACAGTTCAGTGAAAATAAAAAAAAAACCCCTTTCCTTGTTTTCTTTTTTTTTGTTTTATAATTTAATTGCGAGTTGTGTACTCGAGGCGTGGGTGTACTTATATATCACCGAGAAACGAATATACATATATAACGAAGCGGTAGTTATAGTTTTCCCTGGCGTACCTACCTCCTAACTCTTTCTCGAGTATTATAGAGTTCGAGTGTGTGTTTGTGCTGCACCTCGAGGCCTGTGTGCGCCGCTCGCACGCGCGCGCGAATAATATAGAATTCGCCGAAAGATAACAGTAGTTTATTTTCATATCCGTTCTAGAAATTCTCTCTCTCTCTGGCTTTTCATTCTTCGAGCTGCTGTTCGCCGTTACTATAGCACTACTTCTATAACAGCAGCAGCAGCGGCAGCAGCAGCCATGAGGCGCGGCGCAGCGCAGCGGAGACGAAGATCGATACCCCGCGGCTAAACGTCGATAAATCGACGACGACGACGACGTAGACGTAGACGACGACGTTTATAAACTTCATCTTCGCAACGGTAATATCCAACATCAGGCACGTAGCATTTCGCATCGTCGGAGCTTGATGCTGCAGCGCAGCTATATTTACAGTGTATATGACGTGGCGGCTCGCGCGATGCACTGCATACTGTAGTACGCGATTCTACACTTTGCGACTTCATTTATCATCTCTCTGTCTCTGTCTCTCTCTCGCTCGCTCGTCTTGTATGTGTGTGTGCTATCTGTGCGTACATTCCAATATAATGCAAGATCATCCAGCTCGCTCAGCCGCCGCCGCCGTTCCCGCCCTTCTCTCTATCTACCCTCCCGGCCTCGCGGGAAAACAACATTACGCGCACGCAGAGAAGGTGGTGGTGGTGGTGGTGCAGCATCAACACCTGAATTCCCTTAAGCACAAATCAGCCGAATGTATGATAATATAAGTTTGTACGATTCTCGACGATGCATTCACATATAGCTATATATGGAGGTCGACCGCCCACGGGTGTCGTGCTAGGGAGTAGCTAGTAGTCATATATAGTGTGCGCAGCTTGTCGACGATGTACACCACCACCACCACCAACAGCAGTCGTATATTACAAACACCCATGGATATAATATATACGTACATTGTCATTAGCAAGGAAGTAGTCTACTTGCCTCTTGTTATATGTACTATATATATCGCGCGGAGCTTGCACGAGTCCTGCAAGTTCGGTACGGAGTACAAATGTGCTAAATTATATAATACAGATCTCAGCTTTCTCTCGCTCCCTCTCATTTTCTATGGCTCGTCGCGCAATCGGTACTGAGGTCGTGAGTCATACATACAGTCAGCTGACTAAAAAGATAATACACGTTATAACGGCGCATAACTATAGGTATACGAGAGCTGCGCCGCGCGCGCTCATGAATCAAAGGCGCGTTTGTATTTCAAGTCTCTCGCTCGCTCCTCGCGTGAGCCGTGTGTTACGCCTCGAGACTAGCCTTTTTGGTCTGCGCGCAAGCACATCGTATACACACACAGCAGAAGAAGAAGCTCCTCTGTAATTAGCCTTGTATTATATATGTGTGTGTCAGTGTGTGTCGAGTGTGTGTCAGCTGTGTGCTTGCAAAGCTTTGTGTATAGTGTGTGCGCGCACGCTTTGTCTTGTCGCTCGCTCATTTTACACACGCGGGCGCCATTTAT